GGTGTTGTAAACAGGAGATAGAGGGTGACGAATCCTTCCCCCTCTGTTGAGGGAGGGGCTGTTCAGTTTTGATGTAGATGGCCTCTCTGACCTCATTTATCAAAGATAAATCTTCAAGTGGCCTCAACGACTCTCAGAAAGAGTGCTAACGACCAGATGACTGCAAGAAATATAAATCCTTCCATCCTCTGCCATTCTGTCAGAAGTGAGGAAGCTTCTTGGTTGAGAAGCGAAACAACTTTAAGAAAAAACGAAGAAACTCCAGTTTGCCTTTTGAAAAAGCACCTTTGCGACAACCATAATCTGGATGACTGAGAATCTCCATAGACAAGCAGATTATTTACATAATCTGGGTGATTCTGGGAGTTGAAGTCTACCCATCTTAAAGTGGTTATTGAGGTTGGAAAACACCAATCTAGAACAGTACAGTTCTTGACTTACGATCACGACGGAGCCCAATTTTATCGGTTGTTAATCAAGACAGTTGTCGTGAGTTTTGCCCCGTTTTATGACTTTTCTTGATAAAGTTGTTATGTGAATCACAGCGATTATTCTAATTCGAGGATCCTCCTCAGGTCTTCCAAACTTCTTTCAGGGATATATGGAGACCATGTTGTGGGAGGCACAGACGAGGGACCCTCCGATGTTGCACGTTGTGGGTTGAGATTTTTCTATTTGGCGAGGGCCCTAAAGTTCCCTATTTTTAGAAATCAAAGTTCTGGGCATCTAGCTGTGTTTGAAAGATTTCTTTGGGTGCTACAGATCCAATGTTCTGCTTTTTTTGTTTGTTTGTTTGTGTTTTTTGTTTTATTTGCAGCTCTCTGAAAGTCTGGAATATTGTGTTGGGGGCCACCGATCTTTCCAGGTTGCCAGACATAGCCCAGTTCCGCTCAATAAAACGAATCATCTTCCACCAGGATTACAATCCCTCCGCAAAGATCAACGACGTGGCGTTGATAGAGCTTGACAGCCCTGTGACGTTCAATGCCTATGTGCAGCCAATCTGTTTGCCCCCTGTCAGCTTGGACTCTGAAGCCTTCTCCATCTGTTACGTCAGTGGCTGGAATTCAAGCGGTGAGGGAATCGGAACGGAGGGAGACACGGGAAAGGGTTGGTTGGTGACCCTGAAGACACAGATAAACCTCCAGGTGGCCTCAACGACTCTCCAAAAGAAAGCAAATGACCAGCTGTCTGCAAGGAGTATAAATCTTTCCATCCCCCCCATCCAGTCAGAGTTGAAGAAGCTTCTTGGATGAGAAACGAAACGTCTTCAAAGAAAAACAGGGAAGTCCAGTTGCTCCCTGAAAAAGCAGTTTGGGGATAACTATGACCTGGATGACCGAGAATCTCCTTAGATACTTAACAACCGTGTTCCTAACTTGTTGAATGAATCAGCGCAGTTGTTAAGTTCGTAACACAGTTGTTAAGTATTTATGGAGATTCTCAGTCATCCCGGTCATGGTTGTCCCAAAGGTGCTTTTTTTCAAGAGGCAACTGGACTTTCTTGTTTTTCTTTGAAGACGTTTCGCTTCTCATCCAAGAAGCTTCTTCAGCTCTTGACTGGAGGGTGGGGAATGGGAGGATTTATACTCCTTGCAGACAGCTGGTCATTTGCATTTTTTAGAGTCATTGAGGCCTCTCTCCCTCTCCCTCCCACTCTCTCCCTCTCTTTTCCACTCCCTCCCTCTCTTTCTCCTTCCCTCTCTTCCTCCCTCTTTCCCTCTCTCCCTCCCTCCCTCTCCCTCCATCCCACTCTCCCTCTCCCTCTCCCTCCCTATCTCCCTCTTCCTCCCTCTTCCTTTCTCTCCCTCTCCCTCCCTATCTCTTTTTCACTCCCTCTCCCTTTCTCCTTTTCTCCTTCCCTCTCTTCCTCCCTTTCCCTCTCCCTCCATCCCACTCTCCCTCTCCCTATCTCCCTCTCTTCCTCCCTCCCTTCCTTTCTCTCCCTCTCTCTGTCTCTCTCTCTCCCTTCCCTTTCTCTCTCTCTTTCCTCACCCCCATTTTTTAGCAGACTTTGTGTCAAGCAGGCTATAGATTCCAAATTGGGAAATGGGTCGTGATTGGTGTACGTTATGTATGTGTGTTTGTTTAGGAAAGAACTGCTACAAAAAGCAGAGAAGGCGATCATCCAGCTGAGTTCCATGCTTTGCCCACAGGTATCTCCGCCGTCGTGTATGAAGTCAAAGCAGATATTCTAGAGACAACGACATGCAACAGCAGCGAGTGGTATCAAGGGAGGATGAATCCGCACACGCTCTGTGCGGGTTTGCAGGAGAGGGATAGCGACTCTTGCCAGGTAAATATTGTGCCCATCGGCAACAAGAACAGCAAAAGCTGTTACTTAAAATACATAAAATACTGGCAGCAGTCTTCCAGCGTTTCATTTCTTTTTTTGTTTTTCCTACAGGGGCACAGTGGAGGTCTTTTAATGTGTAAGACATTGCCCAAGTCACCATACTACATAGTTGGCATTTCCAACTCGGAGAAGGATTGTGCCAGGATAGAGTACCCCAGAATTTACACCTCCGTTCAGCAGTTCCTGGAATGGATCTCCAGAAAGATGGGAAGCCAAGAGATCCGAAAGGAGAAAGTAGACCGTAAGATTGAGGAGAGCAGTTCCGTCTCAATCACGGACGTCCCGAAGGAAACGGTTGTCATACAACCCCCATTTATTCCTCAAGAAACAGTTCCCACACTTCTAGATCCTCCCTATGTTCCAGAAGAAACAACTCCTTCGCCTCCAGTGTCTCCCTTTATTCCTACAGAGACGAAATTCATTCTGGAGCTTCCGCCAGTCGACGAGCCATTTCATATGGGGCACAAAGCAGTCGATAGCTCAGTGCAATATCGCCTCCCAAACACAACTGCTTTGCCCCCCGAATATGTTCCTCCAGAAGCAGAAGTCACTCTGGAGCCCCCATATATCCCTCTAGAGAACCCTGATCATCTGGAGCCTCCGTTCATCCCTCCAGAAGCATCCATCCTTGTGGAACCTCCATACACCCTTCAGGAAACCACGGCTTCTCTAGAGCCACCCTATACGCCCCAGGAAATCACCACTCCTCTAGAACCTCCATACACCCCCACGGAGACTTCTGTTCCTCTAGAAAATCCGTACCTACCTTTGGAGACCTCTGTCATTATAAAAGCACCGTACGTGCCTGAGGAGAACCCTCCATCTCTTGAGGCACCATATCATTCTCCAGAGACCTCCCCTACTCTAGAACTTCCATACACGCCTCCAGAGACGCCTGCTACTCTAGAAACCCCATACACCCCTCCAGAAACTCCTGCTCCTCTAGAACCGCCCTACACACCTCCAGAAGCTCACACTTCTCTAAAACCTCCATATATGCCCCCAGAATCTACTACTAATCTAGAACGCCCATACACACCCCCAGAAACTCCTGCTGCTCTAGAACCTCCGTGCATACCTCTAGAACGTCTAGGAGTATCTCAAGGAACTCCTCCTCTAGAAGCTCCAAGCACACCTTCAGGAAATCCTGCTCCTAGAAACCCTCCATGCATATCTCCAGAAGCTTTTGTTCCTCTAGACACTCCACACATACCCCCAGAAGCTCTTTCTTCTCTAGAACTTCCATACATATCTTCAGAAATATCTACTCCCTTAGAGCCCCCATATATCCCCCTGGGAGCCCCACGTCCAACAGAACAGCCATACACACCTCTAGAAACCCCTGCTCCTCAAGAAACTCCTACTCCTCTGGAATCTCCTCCCCTCGAGACTCAACAGCCTCCTCCTACAGGCCACTACCACTCTAGAACCATTGTATATTTTTCATGATCCCCGTTGTGCCTTCAGAGACTAGCAATATGGAGCTTCCACATATTTCTCCAAGATAGAGTCTCTAAGACTTCTCCGTCCATTGAGTAGTCATCTACTCCACCAGAGTATCCGTATTTTTCTCCAGATGTACCTGGTAGATGACCTTTCCCCCTAGAAACCTTGCTCCATTGACCACCTCTCTAATATCCAACATACTCTTCACACATCACTCACTTGGGAGACAACTGCTCCACCCATGTTCCAGAGGAACATTGTCAAAACGAGATTCCAAATGTTCCTCTCTGATCCAGATGTCTCCAGAGGCATCTGTCCCTTTTGAGTGGCTACACTGTCTTCCTAGAACCTTTTATGCTTAGAGTGACCATGTACAGTGTTGGCTTCTGCGCCCCTAAACAACTCACTTGCTCTTCCAGAGTTCTTAAAACAGCTCCAAGAAACAACCATGACAAATATCATAAAATTTAGTTATATTTTAGAACACATAGGTTTTATTGATTTGTTTAATGTATTTAATTATTCAATTGTTTCTTTATTAAACTGCTCTATCCTCGTCCAAAGTGCACCGGCATCTCTCTTGAAACAGCCACCTTATTGCAACATCTCCGGATGGTCATCTACTCTGGAGGTTCCACCTGAATTACATGGCTTGGACTTGGTCCAGGTAGTCTTCGACTTACGACCACAATTGAGCCCCACATTTCTATTGCTAAGCAAGACAATTCAGTGAATTTTGCCCCACTTTATGGCCTTTCTTGCTACAGTTCTTGAGTGAATCACTACAGTTATTAAGTGAACAACTGCGGTTGTTGTTAGTAAGACGGTTGTTAAGTGAATCCGGCTTCCCACAAACTTTTAAGAAGCAAAACTCCAACTAGGATCAAGTTATTCTTGCAACGTTTTTAAACTCTCCTGGATAGTCAGTCGCCGCTGTTTTTAGAGGGAGGGGTAAAATCTCCCTTCCCTCTCCACAGGGGGGGGAAGTATTTAAGCAGCTTATGCAGGTAAAAAGGATAGTTAGGATTTAAGAGAGGTAGATCTCACCCAGTCTCTTCCGCGCTGGTTTAAAGTTGCCTGGTGGTGTGACTTGGGCTCTCTGCAGCCTAGTGACGAGCCATATTTCTATGGCCGGTCTTTTGTCTGCCATTTTGGAGGGCTGTCCCCATGGAGGGCAGACAATTTTTATGTAGGCTTTCTCCTCCAAGACCCAAACCCTTCTATCACGCATGCAGCGGCAAAATACTGTGTTGCGGCAATGTCCACAAGAAAAAAATTGGTTACAGATTTACAGTCGTCAACTTGTGCCAATTTTTTGGAGATACCTCTAATAATGTTTGGAACATTATATTTACTCACACACTAATCGGCTATCCACTCACGTAAACTAGGGAGTGACCCTAACATTTTGAGAACATGCATTTTCTTAACAGGGATGTTATTATTTACTATTGATGTTAGTACTATTTTTTATTATTATTATTTTTTAATATATTGTAAAAAGTGTTGGCTGTTGCTGGTCTACGATCGTAATAAAGTTATTTGATTTCGAGGGCTGTCCCAGATTAAACAGAAGGGCTACCAGCCTTCTGTGGTCACGGGAAGAAGAAGGAGAAGGAGAAGGAGAAGGAGGAAGAAGAAGAAAAAGAAGAAGAAAAAGAAGAGGTGGAGGAGGGGGAGAGGGAAGGGAAGAGGAGGAGGAGGAG